GGACAATGTTGCCAGTGTGACAAACCTCCTTGTGAGCTGTGCAGACAGCTCAGCCTTGCTGCCACATGGTCCTGCTGGGAAAAAACAGTCTCTAAGCTCTTTTGTAGAAGCTGTGGAGGATGCTGTGGATGTTGCAGAGGGTGTTGAATCTTTTACAGTCCTGCTGAAGCTCTGTGGCACAACCATGACATTATTACATAGGTACTACCTTTGCACCTCAGAGATATTGCTGGCATTGCTGTTGGGTGAGTGAGACTGGGAGTGCTTTTCTCCTCAGCGGGCTATGCAGAGGGACAGGGTCACTGTGGCAAAAATGGGCTGCAAATTGACAGCAAGCACACTGGGTAAGGCACAGTCCTCAAACAGGGAGTGTTCTGCTTGGCATCCTTTCTACCCTGTAGGTACCAACATTCTTCGTGAAAGCCAGACTCTGTGAAAAGGAAAGTGGTGTGTAGGAGCATATTTCATTTTGAAAGGGTGGTTTCCATGTGAGTTGTTCATAAATGGCACAAATTAATTCATTGACAGGGTATCTAAATTATGGCAGATTGAGGGGTAGATGTATTGGTTTAATATAAGTAAGGCAGGGCTAAGTATGTATATGCAGCTGTGGCTACCATTATTTTACAGTAATAATTACGTTATTATTATTATAGAATAATTCAATTTTTACATAGTAACTCACCTCTTGCACCTCAGATGGTACATAAATGCTGCTGATACATAGCTGCTGATATTCCTGGACTCTTTTTCTAAAAATCTGCAGTTGTTATTTGCCACAGCTTGCTGGGCCAGTTTCTATTGCCCTGGAAATTTTCTGGGGAAGTATGTTACCTGCCTTTTGGGTTGGAACTTCAGCTGCTGTACTTTGGCCCCTGACAGACAACCATCTGTTACTCAGGCAAGAACCACCTGCTCTGCAATTGGCAGTGTTGAGCAAGTATTACAAACAACTGATCACCAGGATAACATGGGTAGGCAGAGGATAGAGAGAACACCTATTTTAAGAAAATTTCAGTTCCCAATGAATGCAGATGGATTTCAGTGCTACCTACTACCTTTGCTGGGATGTCCTAGGAGATTGTTTTTGATGCTACTCTTCAATAACCCAGTGAATAAGCAAAATATAAAAAATAGAAAGTGAAATCAGAATGTTGTCATAAATTGAGGCAGATGGGAAAAGATAATACAGGGAAAAAAAGATCTTTGCCTTACTGCCAGTTAGAGCATTCTCTGTAGCAAACAGGATGTCACAGAAAGAATCCATAGCTGAAGCAAGAGAAAAAATAAGAGAAAATAAGAAAATAAAATTAAGTCAGTACAAAATAGGGTGAGTGGGCATGTGGGATGCATAGATAAGAATGCCAAGCAGAAATTCTACATTTCCTATCCTTAAGTGGCAGTCCCTTTTCCAGCTGCAGTCCCTTTTCCAGCTGCAGTCCCTTTTCCAGCTGCATATCCAGAGTGTGAATTTACATTGAAACTTGCTGTCTCTTCCTAGCTGTTTTCTTCCAAGTAAACCACATGAAACCAGTCTTCCTTGTTCTGAGCATCTCCATGCTGAATATGCAGCCTCAGTCCTTCTGGGACTTGGAACACCAGGTGCTAGAGAATCCCTCCTCTGCTGCCTGTGACAGCAGGAGCATCACTAGGGCTCTGCTGCGAGTTGTTTGCCTTGAACCTGGGAGCTGCCCCTGGCAGTGTCATCTTCCCCAGCCCTCAGCTCACACCGGTCAGGGACGATGGTGCAGCTTCCCGGGCTCCAGGCTGTGCCTGCCCACACCAGGCCCTTGGGAGAGGCGGGACTCCTTGCACTGGGCGGACAGGAGGGGCTGAAACTCCTGCCTGCCATCAAAAGGCAAATAAGCAGGAAGTCTGCGGGGGCATTGGGGGGTGTCGGGGGGGAAGCAAGAGCACGTGGCTGAAGAGGAAGGAAAGGAGCCAGTTGCAGTAAGCAGGAAGTCTGTGGGGGACCTGGGGGGTGTCGGGGGGAAGCAAGAGCACGTGGCTGAAGAGGAAGGAAAGGAGCCAGTTGCACTTTAATTCTCTCCTGTCAGCTAGTTTTCAGTTGTGGTGTCATGCTTTGGAAGGTGGCTGGGAGACCAGAGAGCCTGTGTAACAAAAGTGTTTTGCTTGCAGCACAAAATCTGAAGTAAAGCAATGAATTAGAATTGGTCTATTTTATGTAAGTATTGAGTGCCTTATTTCACAGGGGGCCTGGGACAGTGCTCCTCCTGCTCTGAAGGCTTTCAGTGCACAAGCCAAGGATAAACTCTTGACAGATACTGCTAAGTCCAAATCCATTGCTTGAACTGTGGCCCAGGTGCAAGAGGAGATGTTCACTTGTCCATTGTCAGCACAAAAGTACCTTATTCTGTAGGGAGGTGCAAGAAGAGGCATGAGGAGCATCAGGGATGTTCTTTTGAGATGCTGAACACATGGCTGGGGACACTCAGGGATACCCAAAAGCTAACCCAACCCCTGCTGGCACAGGTATCCCAGGATGGAGCAGCATGTCCCTCTTAAGTTTAGCTGGGGAGGGGAGGTTTTTTGTTAATCAGACCCCAAACAGGGAAAGAGAAGGGGGATGCAGCTGTGGCTGCTAATGTGTCCCTATTCCTTGCATGTGTCCTGCCTCCCAAAGGAGATAGGGGCCAATCCCAAGCCCTTGCACTCTTCTTTCTCCTTTTTTTCTGTCTTTAATTTCCTGTTCTCTGTCTGAGGTCACTGTGCTGCCAGCAACAGTTGTCTGGGCTGAAAAAGGCTTGTTGGCTCATATTGTGGATGCCTCTGCCCTTACTTGTTTCAGGGAAAGCTGGTAAGGAGCACCTAGGAATGCATTCCCAGGTGCCAGCCTGCTGCCAGAGAGCTGCTCTCAGCCCTCACCCACCCAGAATGGGCATGAAGTGCTGGTCAAAGTGCCTTTGGGGAACCCTTGCTCAGACAGACTCTCTCACGGGAGAGTCGCAGATTCCTGGCTTTTTGTCTAACGCCCCGGGGTGTCTCTTTAATCAGTATCTTTTCAGGTTAGGGTGAGAAGCAAAAGGGTCCAAGCAGGTACGGGACTATGCTCCCATCCTTAGACATCACTTAGGTCACTTGTTGGCTCGTGATTTTAGGGGTTTTTCTTGTAAGAACTGTAAAAATTTGGGGCGCAATGCATTTCTCATCTGCATACTGGCTCTGATGTCACTGCTATTTTCTTTACCTTGGAGGGTCTGTCCTGGTGTCTTCTTGGCAAGCGGCCAGCATCAGGGAAACAATAGTTAATCACCAGCCATTAACGGGTAATTGAGTAGCTTTTCTTTGGCAGCGAAACCAAAGAGGTCTGACTGGTCTGACTTGTTTTTTAACTCTGAAACTCAAAAAAAAATTACAACTTTCTATTCATAACATTAAACAAAATTTTGAAATTACAATCAGAATTAAAGTAATATGTAATCAGACCACATTAGCTCTTAATCATATTAATGACCAACTCAACCAAACCAAAACAGTAATTTATCAAATCAAATTAATTGTAGCAGTCATTAGAAACACCTTAAATGAAATAAGAAAACTAGAATATGTAAGAAATCAAAGGACTCCTACACTTGATTCCAGTTGCTGGGATAACCTATGGACTTTCAAAAAAAGTTGGAAAACTATAACCTTCACTGTGTGTATACTCGTTAGTTTGTTCTTATTTCCCTGTTTAATTAAAATAGTGACATCTGCTGTACAGAATAACGTAAGGATCTCTAAAGAGATTAACCTGAAAAAACCAAAAAAAGTAATGAAGTTGGGTAAATAGGATCACCAGAGTGCTCAAGAAATTTATGATCAGTACAAAAAATATAGGAAATGCTATGTTAATGAGAAAAAAAATTCTAAGTTGATGCAAGCTTAAGCTTAAGCCTGATCAAAGAAAAAGAGGGAGGACTGTTATGAATAAAGAGTTATCTATTTTTTTTAAGGTTGCAGAGTTAAAACAAATTGGACCAGTGCTAGCTTCATTGTTAAGAGTTCTTCTTCAATTACCTGTTAATGTTGGTGATTAACCATTGTCCCCCTGATGCTTGCCAGAGATCCTGCGGGTACCAGGAGCACATTAATTAAACGGGACTGTCCCTTCGTGAATCTGCACTGGCTGTGCCTGATGATTGCATTATCCTTTAAATGCCTTTCAACAGCACCCAGCAGGATATTCCCAACATTTTTTTCAGGTAGACTAAGAGGTCTGCAGTTAGACTAAGAGGTCTGTAGTTCCCTTGTCCTTCACGGCCTTGTAAACTGTGATAACACTGACTAGTGCCACTCAGCATGCACCTCTCCAGACTCCCAAGAACTCAGTAGGTGATGAGAGGAGTCCTGCTGGAACACCCGCCACCTCCTTCATCCTTCTGGGATGAAACCAGTCTGGGCACACCAGGCCTGCAAATCGTCAACTGGTGCAACTGGTCCCTGACAATTTCAGTGTCTACAAATGGAATGTCTACACTTCCCACTGTCACGGTCCTCCCAACTCTGAGGACCAGGCAACACAATGTTTATTGTCACTATTAAAAAATGAGGCACAAAAAATGCACTTACTTTTTCTTTACTTCTATTTACCTGGGATACTTTTCAGTGCTTTAAAATGTGTGTGTTTAAAGGGTTTGCCAATACACAGCCAACTCAGTGATACTACAAAGAAAGACAAAACTTTCATATCAGTTTGAAGTAATTATGACACTTCTTTAATGCATACTATCTTTGCAAAATACTGCAGAAAGTGTATTTTGAAACGTATGAGTTTGAAAATATATTCTGCTAAAAATTGGAAATAAAAATATACATTGATTTTTTTTTTGATAGCCTAAAATGACCTTCTGTTTTTTTTAAATGAAATAGTGGGTAACTAAGCCACAAAAGAATTCCAACTTTCATTCAGTTTCTTAATGAAAATGTCAAAGGAGAGAGCATCCAGTACCAGTAAAATTAGGAGTTTCAAATTTTTATTTGTTTTTCAGGAAAAAAAACAACAACTTGAACATGAAAACTGAACTCACACAGCACTGCTAAAACATTTTTCTAACTGTGCAATTAAAACACTTAAAATACACACATGTATGCATATGTTTCCAGAAGGTTTCCTTGACTCAGAATAAAATAGATCTTCCCTGTGTGGTCCCTCTGGAAATGGGTAGTTCTGGGGCAAACAAAACCAAGATAAACTCTGATTTCTGCAGTAAAAATTATTTCTCTTCTTAACCAGTGGGAAGGGTGACTTCTATTGAAAACAGACCACTTTGATACAGGATTCTTCAGTTCAGCCTTATTTAACACTCAGCCCCTGTGTGGCAGTGACTGAAGGCTGTTCAGTGCGTTCAGTGGTGTATTAGTGCCATGCAAGTTACAGTCCTCAATGTCTTTGCTGAAGTGGTGATTCCACTTGGTTTTGAGTTGGTCGGTTGTTTTCTTGTAGATGGCTGCCAAGATGCCCAGATCTGCACCAAGACCTGTAAACTGTACATTAAAACAGATGTCCCTCCTTTACCCCTTTATCCCCCTTTTCCCCCCTTTACCCCCCATACTTCACACAAAAGTATGAAGATGAAATCAGAGCCTGTATTAGAAATTTTCTGTACAAAGAAGTAGAGGATGCTACACCTAAACAAAAGCCTGGTCTCTGTGTATTGTATATGCTGCCAGCTTGCAGAAACATCAAAATTTTGCAGAAATGCACCCCTATTTTGCAGAAGACAGATCCAAGTCAGCAGAAGGAAAGTATCATTTCACCTCAAAACTAACAGTTGAAGACTTGGACCCATTCTGACCCTACCAACACACTCCACCCACTCTTCCTCAGCTGGCTTTCACACTGAGACTGTGCTGAATGAGGAAAACATTATTACTTCCTGTTTTCTTATGATTTCACTTTTCTCTCCACTGCCAGTACTGGAGGATGATTCTTCTTGGCAAAAACAGCATGAGCCACATTCTGAGACTTTTAAAACCTGTTTTGAAAGACTAAAGGTATTCCCTCCAGAGAGATGAATGTGGGAGTTGGATGAAAAGAGAATCTTCAGACCTCTCACAACCACAGTGCAGGAGCACTTTCCCCCAGTGTTAATAAAGTACTGGGGAGAAATTACATCTTATTTTAGTGCATTACAGCAGCACCTGTTTATCCAGTGGTGTTTACACAAGCATTATTTAGTTTTATCACAAATCTCTTCTCCACCGTAAACAATTTAAAACACTAGAAAGCACAGAGACTCTAGCTCAATGAATTCATTTGTAATGGGAAGTGCCTTAGGTACTAATAACTTGCAAATTCTAATGCTGCAAGTAATAGGTCTTGTCCTTACAGACAATGTTATGTTTGAGTTTGGATAGATAGACTAGAACACCAGAACTGGCAGCTGGGTACTAGTGCCATTCCTCTGGGATAGAAGATGAGCCCAATGTGCCTTGCTGTTCTTCTCAGCAACTAGGGCAAGAGGATGGAATATGCCCTCAGAGTTTGTTGTTATTACAAACCAGGAGGGCATGAAGCAGAGGATGAGGAAAGATTAAGTGGCAGGCAGTCTTCTGAGGGACTGTGAGGTGCTGCAGAAAGCACCAGCATGAACTTCACAAAAATCAAGACATGTCTGGGCTTATCCAACCCAGGGAGTGACTCTGCAACAATTAAGACTGGGGATTAACTTTGCCAGAAGAAGAACCAGAGTCCTGAGCTGAGTATCTTCCATCATCATTGTGTGGTTTTGTGGTGATGAAGACCAGCCATGTGTTGAGGAACACATTCAGTGCAGGGTGCAGTTGAATGAGAGCTGCAGGCTGAGCTCTGGATGGGAGCCTGAGACAGAACACCAGGAACTGCCAACCCTTGGCACAGGAAGGGGCACAGGGACCTGTGGCATCAGCCTGGGGACTGGACACTGAGACACAGCAGGAGCTGAAGACTCAGTTGGAAGACCCCAGACTTTCTGGCATACACAACGTCAGGGTATAAAAGCCCAGGTAATCCTTTGGTTAGGGTTTCTCCTTGAGGCACCAGCTCGAACTCTTACTCTCTTGCTACACCAGGATTAAATTACTTGTAACCAGAGACCTGGCTGAAACCCTCATGAGCGCAGGCAAGCGCCATTCCGAATGAATGAGCAATGACTGCCCTGCCCTCCACCAATCAGTCAGGTGTTGGGCTCAGATCCCTGCACCCAGACTGGCAGAGATGGGTGTCATGGGGCACCCAGTGCAGTGGCACAACTGCTCAGGGGCTCTGAGGAGAGCTCTGACAGCACTCGGTGAGCTCTCACTGCCTGTGGCCATTTTGGGGAGGGAGCGTCAGTCTGTGCTGGGCTGTATCCATATCCACAGCAGTTCTCCAAGGTGATGCACCCATCTCCTGACAATTCTTTTTTGAGGCAATTCCTGTACAGACAAAACATATCTTTGGAGAGTGCACAAAACACTCTCCAAACACATATAATAATAGTTTACCCTCTGTGCTATTATGTGCACATGGTGTCTCTTCAAAATGGGGGATTCAGGGAGATCTGCATATAGAGGAGTGTTCACCTTCAAACTGTGTGTTGCTGTAACTGTTTGAATTGATTGTTGTGGTGTAAACTTGAAATACCAAGAGCAGGTTCTCCAGAAAGATCAGCTGGAAACAGTGCTGTATTTTTTGTACATATATGAGATTTCCTCTGGACTAGTACTTGCTTGTAATGGTGATAATTCTGTGTATATTTTTAAAAAAACAACCTTGTAAACATGAAAATGCTTGAAAGTTCTGTTATGGTCTTCAGGATATAGAAGGTTAGACCCATTGAATCTGCAGAGAATTTTGGCACTTAATGCACCGCAAAGAAGGTATAAAATTACTGGGCATATTTGTTCTTGTACAATATGTAGATGATCTGTCACTGGCTAATTGTGACAAGAGTGTTTATATATTAGACAGTATGCATTTATGTATTGCCAAAAGAGGGAACAGCTTGCATCTCCATCCAAACTTCAGCTATGCCAGAGAAGAAGTTAAATATTTACGCTTTACATTGTAAAGGAATGATGAACAACAGGTCCAAAAAGAATAGAGACCATAATTAGGCTCCCACATCCAGTCACAAAAATCATGTACCAGGTTTGCTCAGAGCTGTGGGATTTTGTTGGCCATAGATTCCTGCAGTAGAGGAATTGACTAAGCCTCTGACTGAGGAAACCAAGAACAAAGACATAAAGTCTATTGCATAGGACCTGTAGAAAGAATAAGCTTACACAGCAATGAAAGGAGCTCTAGTGTCTGCTCCTGGTCTTGGTCTCCTAGGTTATACAAAACACTTCAATCTGTATGCACATGAATGTAAAGGAATAACCAGTGGAGTGGTAAAGCATAATTTAGGACCCCGTCAGAGACCATTTGCACGTTACTCATTAAATTAGCTTCACTTGCAGCAGGAGCACCAATTTAAGTCAGTGGCAACAAAAGCAAAAAAACTAGAAATTAGTTGTTCCCCTTACCCTGAAACAGTTCATATCCCACGTGATGTGGAAATACTGTTGACAGTCTGCAGCCCAAGCACTAACACTGCCATGGGCGCATAGATATGAGCTGATCTTCACAATGGCAGGTAATATTAAAAAGAGCCTAATGCTTCTACCTGATGAGAGAACATGCTGTTGTGGCTCTGGTTGGCCAGAGTGAATGGCCAAATTTGAGAGACCCTAAGACCATGTATGAGAAGGACTGCTCAAGAGAAGAAAATAAATGTGGGAAAAGTGGGAGGTGACACAAGATTATGATGGAATGTGGTCCACAGACGGGAAGCCAACTCTTCCAAAGAGATATTATTTAATATGTGTGGTAAGGTTTCTCAATGAAGTAGGTGGAGAGGCAGAGGCAACAGCTAGCCAAATAAAAAAAGAAAAAAAAACAACCCAGCAGCTCCAGGAATTTATGCCACTGCAAGAAGGATCACAAACAGCTTCCCAGCCTACTAGAAGTTGTCAAGTATCAGACCAAACTCAGAGACAGGATGACTAACTATGAGCCTGCTTCCCTTTCCAGCAACTACAAATAGCTCTGTGGACACCTACGGTGGCGTGTCAGCATTTGCCAGTGATGGCAGGTCAGCTAACAGGCTGGGCAGAAGCCTTTTCAACAAAAGGGCTGGCACAAGAGAAGAACAAAAGGCCTTGGCTTAAAAAAGTTAAACCTAGATACAGGGTTCTATAGAGTCTATTGAATCAGACAGGGGTGCTCATTTTACAGCTAATATAAACAATCAGTTGTGTAAGTCCTTGAGAATACAGAGAAAATTACATCTAACTGTATCACCCACGATCTTCAGGACAAGTAGAGGGAATGAACAGGACACAAAAATATGCACATGAACTTATCTGAAATGGCCACAAACCTTAAATTTGGCACTGTAGAATGTTTGGAATGTTCCGTCACAACCCGTAGCACTGGCAGAAAGTTTCTTTGGAAGCCACTCAGCTACGTCAGGAAGTTATATTCCAGCTGAGACCAACCTTCTGGAAGGAAAAGAATGCCTGACCCAGTATTTTATATATAAAATATAGAAAGGGTTTGAGGAATGGAGAAAGTATGCACAATAGTATCAGCCCAGCACACTTGAAATAGAAGTAAATTATACACAACCTGCAGATGTAGTGCTAAGCAAGATATTCTCACCAAAAAGTCAAATTAGAATCTAAATGGGAGGGACCATATGCTGCCTTTCTGTGTTCTTATTTTGCTGTTAAAAATTTGTGTTAGGAAAACTGGATACACTCATATCCAGCAAGTAGTGAATCATTAACAAGTTGGACAATAAATGAGTTTGAAGAATCTTTCATGATCTTTCTTGATAATAATTTATACCCTAGGACAATGTTAGCCTTAATTGTTACTTGTAATAATGTTGTAAGTGAGGGCAGTGTAAAATGCTGTGAAAGCTTTCTTTTTCCCTTTTAATATATTAGCAGATATTCTCAATCCAAACAAAGGGACAAACATTCTGTGCAGGTAGCTTGGTGTACAGCTGCATTGGGAGCTGCAGGTTGAGCTCTGGCTGGGAGCCTGAGGCAAGAGGTCAGGAATTGCCAGTGTTTGGCACAGCAAAGGGCACAGGGGCTGTGACCCAGGCAGGTGACCAGACACTGAGGCACTGCAGGAGCCAAGGACTCAGCAGGAAGACCCCAGACTTTCTGTGAGGGTATAAAAGTCCGGGTAATCTTTTGTTCAGGATTCCTACTTGAGGCACAAGCTGGAGCTGCTGCTTTGTTAGCGAACTATAAATAAATCTCTTCAGTGATCCAGAGGTCTGAGATTCTGCTGCTGGAAGCCTGGGGCTGAACTGTTGAGGAAGCACTTGTGTGAAGTGTGGGGTGTGTAGGAATCAGGCAGGGACCCTTTGGCTCATTGGAGACACCCTTGAGAAGGGCCCCCAGTTCCAGCAGTTACAGTCTCTGGTGGTGTGGCTGACAGAGTGCTCCGGAATGGTCAGATGGGAACGTTTGCTTAACACACATGTTCCTCTGGACAGGGCACACACGGACTCCATCAGGCAAACCCTCCTGCAGAAGCTGCAAACATAGTAGTGGAACTGAAGCTTAGCATTTCAAACCACACAAAGAACTGGAATTGTTCAGCCTTTTTCAGAGAACTCAGCACTGTCTACAGCTTCTGTATGGGTGTAGATTGGGAAGATTAAATTAAAACTCCCCTGGAAAGGCACAGTGAAGCAACATGGCTCCAGCTGTAATGAGAAAAACATTGATTGACAGTAGGAAAACCTTAACCTTTCTTTCTGAGGATGGTCAAGCACCAGAGCAGGTGAAACTGCACCAAAGAGGATGTGAAACTCTTATTTTATTAAAGCAGGCATTAACACTTTTCTTTGTGTGTGTAGAACAAGAGCAAATAATCTACAGATACCCATAACGATCCCTAAGATTCCACAGCTGTAGCCTGGGGTCTATACGAAACACTTTCCAAGAAAAAAACCCTGACTTTTGTATTTACAAAACGCACTTTCTAAATCATTGGTTATGTTAGCAGTGTCTTTGCAGGCATGAAATTCTGCCTGATGTATGAGTTGCAGCAAGACTGCCCTTGTTCCTCAGTACTCCACATTCTTATGTACTAATACATTTTCTGACTTCCATATGTTGTACCAAAATGCTTGGTTTTTAAATATCTTCCTATTTGTTCACATCTTGTGTGTGTATGCACATGTGTGTGAATACTGTGTATTGCTTTTATTCACAGGAAGAACATATTAGAAAACTAGGATAAATTTGGTTGAATGTAGGTAAGAGTTACGGCCAATGGAAGTGAGTGTGCAAACTCTGTTAAGAGCATCAACGTTCTACTTTGATTTCTATAAATGAGACCATTCAGAGCACAAAACTCTAATCGAAAAATAGAAAGTGACAGAACATACCCTGAAGACAACATTTCCCCACACTTTTGTATCAGGTAAGTGTTTAGCTCAGCCATGACACTGAAGCCCAGCCACGACACTGAAGCCCACCCCACACCAACGCTGCTGAAATTCCACAAATCTGTCCCTTTTCCAGCCCGGGCCCAGACGGAGGCGGCTCCCAGGGCACCGGCTCTCCTGCTCCAGGGCACAGCTCCTGCCGGCAGGGACTGTCCGGCAGCCCCGCTACGGCGGCCACTGAGCGGGGCAAGACGCACGGCCACGGCCACGGCCGCGGCCACAGCCACAGCACAGCCATGGCCATGGCCATGGCCACAGCCACAGCATGGCCACGGACACAGCCACTGCCACAGCCACAGCATGGCCACAGCATGGCCACGGACACAGCCACAGCCACAGCCACGGCCACAGCCACAGCACGGCCACGGCCACAGCAGGGCCACGGCTCGCTTGCACGAAGCCCGGCCCCGCCGCCCGCTGCGCACACCCTCCACACGCTGGTCCCGCATCCGCCCGTCCCTGCCCCGCCTGCCCCAGGGCAAGACGCACAGCCACAGCACAGCCACGGCCACAGTCACAGCACAGCCATGGCCACAGCCACAGCACGGCCACAGCCACGGCCACGGCCACAGCCACGGCCACCAGCCACGGCCACCAGCCACAGCACGGCCACGGCCACAGCCGCAGCCACAGCCACAGCCACAGCACAGCCACAGCCACAGCACAGCCATGGCCACGGCCACAGCACGGCCACAGCAGGGCCACGGCTCGCTTGCACGAAGCCCGGCCCCGCCGCCCGCTGCGCACACCCTCCACACGCTGGTCCCGCATCCGCCCGTCCCTGCCCCGCCTGCCCCGTACCCGCCTCCCCCTCGCCTGCCGGCTCCGCATGCTCCTCTTCCCACCCTCGCGGCCGCCCGCGGCATGGCGCAGGGGGAGCCGCGGGCCGCAGCGCCCGGGGCGCGGCTGTGCGCGGCGCACGCCGGGCGGCCGCTGGAGCTGTTCTGCGAGGACTGCGGGAGCTGCGTGTGCGCGCTGTGCCCGGCGCTGGGCGCGCACCGCGGGCACCGCGCCTGCCTCCTGCCGCAGGCCGTCCGCCGCACGCAGGTGAGTGCCGGCAGCACCCGCGGCCGCTGTGCCGCGCACAGGGGGTAAAAGCGGGAGCCGAGAAAAGATCTTCCTGATTTCACGCCTTGCCGGTTATCCCCTCGTTTCTGAAACGTGTGCCGCTCGGTTTTCTTTGGCTAGAGTGTGATGGTGGCATCTTTGAGTATTAGTGCCACAGTACTAAGCCGATCTTCAGCCTTTAGCCTTGCTTTGCTTGCCTTATCAACACCTTGTGGAGTTCAAGGTTTGTAGACTTTGTTAACTAAGAACAAAGTTTCTGTACTTTCTGTACTTCAACAAGTGCTTTGTAGACCCCATACAGACAGGGTCAGCCTGATGACACAGCACGGGGATGTGGGTCGTGTACGAAAAGGAGTCATTCAGTCACACCCAAAGCGTCCAGAAAACAGGTGTACAAATCAAGGGGCAGGGAGGAAGTGACTTTCACTGTTAGATCACGTGCAGCAGCATTTTATCCTCCAACCTTGTGTGTGGAATCAGAGGAGTGTGGCTGTCCCAGGAAATTTGTTTTTATTGGCAGGCTAGAAGAACCTTTGACCGAAACATAGATGCCTCAGGGGAAGGGGAAAGGTAATTTCTGTTTACCCCCTGGGCCCACCATTGTAGCTGGTTAGATCACAATGACTGCCCATGCACAATTCTCTCTTAACTCCTCTGGGATGTTGTGGGTTAACCCCAGTAGGCAGCTAAGCACAACACAGCTGCCTGCTTATTCTCTTCTGTGCCCAATGGGACAGGGGAAGAGAAACACTAAAAACAAGAAAATTCATTAACTGAGAAACTTCAGAAAGTTTTTTTCCCACTTCTTGTGTGATATATGAGTGCTACTAGGAGGTTTCCTGCAGAAAACACTAGGAAGAAACAGTTCCTCCAGAACTTCCTGCTTGGAAGTTCACACAGATTGTGAGCCGGTACACAGGTCATGATAAACTCTTGGAGTATTCTATTGCACTTCATGTCACAGAGCGTTACAGGGGCCGAGGGCTGTGCACTAGGCTGCCACAAACAGCAGCACAGAGGTAAAACTATTTCAGACGTGTGAGCAAGGCAGAGCACTGCACCTGCCTGCTGGTGTGCTTTCGCCCGAAGTGTCCCTCCTGCCGGTGGGAACTCACTATAGCGTTTGCATCCCCTTCACAACAGGGCAGCAGCGGGTGGGTGTGCACGTATTGTGCAGTGGCAGTCTGATCTGAGGCAAAGTAAAATGCACAAATCTACAAACTCTGCTGCTTCCCTGGGTGTCTGATGGACAGAGGGAAGCATGTGTTGTTGATAAAGACTTGTCTTTGCCAAATCAGGAAGTGAGCGGGGTAGAAACTTGAACTCTGTCCCTAGGAGGTATCTGCTGACATCTACTGGCTTAGGGCTGCACAGATTTTAGGTACAAACGATCAATAGTTTTAGCCTAAGAGATGATATTTTAATTAGTAATTTTGTTTGCTGTGAGCAGTTATTCAGTACAGACCTTGTGGTGTGACATCAGCGAGGCAGCACTTCTTGCACTGAGAATCTTCCACAGCTCTTTCAGCAAATCTTTCTAGCTGTGAGTGCTGAGAAGACATGGAAACCATTGTGCGAGATCCATCAGCTGCTTCATCCCTGGAGCAGAGATTGTTTAAAATCATGGAAAAGGATTCCCTGTGCTCCTGAATGCAGCACACAGGATCAGCATTCTTTGCACTTGATATGTGTCCTGTGAGCTTGACTGGACCTCTGAGTGTCATCTCAGAAATCCTTGCTTTTACAGTGTTTTCACTTGAATGAGTTAAAGCATCCAGACAATTCCTAAAGGAACATTTTCGAAGTTGATTCCTCAGGGTGAATGACATGGGTTGCTGGCACAGTCTTCAGTTAGTAGGAAGCAGCTCTTTTGTGTACCTTTGTAAAAAAAGTAATGCTTAACCAGAGATGCTTGGGATTAATATAAGTATTTGCATATGGTCACTGTTGTGCGTGCACAAAGTGATGTGTGTTCCTAGCAAAGAGGGAAGATTGGGTTTTTCTCTGTGGTCTTTGTCAGTCTTTGAGGAAAAGAATGAGGTCTAGGCCGCAAAATAAACTAAGGAACATGGGTACCTGGTAGAATTCCTGAATCTTCTAGTGGTGTAGAACTCTTCTGGTTCTTCAGGGACAAGTCTAGAAAACTGTGGCTGGAATAAGTAGCATGAATGTCTTGCTCTATGCCAAAATATTTACCTGCTTGCATGGATGTATATGTGCCAAGGGCCTTCCATATGCAGAGTCTCTGGCTTTTGCTTCTGACCCTGTCCTACTTAAATGACTAACTGCATGTGTTTTCTAAGGAGACACGTCAGAAATGCAGACCGTTGCTCATGAAGCAGCAATTCATGCTCTGTTTGTCCGTGCTGCAGAGTTTAAATGCTGTGCTGCCCTGGGGCTGTTGCAGTGAGCTGGTACATGTGCATGCAGGTGTTCTTGACTGGGTCTCAGCTGCAGAAGAGGACACTGATAGCAGCTAGAGCTGGTGCTATCTTACTTGGTATTTACTGAGGGCCTGTTTTAGCACCAGTGCACTGAGAGCATGGGGCAGCATTACCTGTATCCTTCATGTTACTAATGACAAAAATGCATTAGCAGGCACACCAAGACTGTTCAACCTGCTGGGTAGAGGGCAGCAAATTTCAGAGGGCTGCAGGTGAGAAACTGGAGCAAGATAGAAGCAGAACATTGATTATGCTGGGCACACCACAATCTGAGAAGTGTCACAGATACTGTGGCTGATTACCAGCCATCTGACACTATTAGCTGTTGCAGACATTCAGACTACAGCATCACTGTGGCAATAGTGGGGTGTCTGATTGGTCATTTGTACACTGGGAAGCATTCTGAAAATTCACTGGATCTTTAGTCTAAATGGAGCCTTCCACTTATCCTCTAAATAAAAGTACTTAGTTGCCCTTCAGCTGCTAAATGCATTACCATGTAATTGAAATACAGAGCACCTTAGATTTAAAGATGAGTATGTGTTTTTCACGTTGGGTTTCCCTGTGCCTTAAGAAGGTGGTGCAATTTGCCCAGCTGTCCAAACCTTACCAGTATATTTCACCAAGTGAAATGCTGAAATCCTAATAGTTCATCACTATACTGGCCTTAATAAGCCTCATAAAAAGCCATTCATTTAAGAGTTTAACCTTCCAATTCAGAATATTCTGATTCTGAAACAGAGTATTTCAGTACCCCCCTATACGGAAATCAAGCTGGATAGTTGTTTCTGGTTTTTAACAGATGTTGTTATGAAACTGTTGTCTAGGAACTCATGGCATTGTGCTTGAAGAATCTAGAAGAGAGAAAAGAGGAAGAAAATGGCAACAGAAGGAGCATAGAGCAGGCTGTAAATGATGTGAAGGTAAAGTGTGGTTTCATTCTCCACTGGATGGTAATTTTCTAGGGGAAGATGTTTTGTTTTCTCTGTAGCTATTCAAAGACCCAGCCACCTATTGGGTGGCTACTCCACTTCTCAGGAGAAGAGTGTATTCCCTGTATTCATCACAATATATTACACTGCCAAAGAGAGGGGAGAAGAGAGTCTCCAAAGACCTGGTCCTCATTCCTTGATCAGCTGAACATCTCTGGAAGACCAAGGGTGAAATTTTTATGCAGAAGAATAGTAGGTAGCCCCAGGTGCCTATGTTATTCTGGCTACACATATGTATCTTGTATGATATGTATGTGTCTTGTATGATATGCACTGAACTTGTATGATATGCACTGAACTGCATTATTGAATTTTCTGGATTCAGAGTTGGGTAAACACAAGAACAGTTATGTTGATTCTGTCTAAAAAATGGGAATGTATGCTAAGCTGCACCTCATTTATAGAGCATGAAATTACTTCCGCTGTAAGGAACATTGCTAGGCAGTTTTGTCACATAAATGTCAGTAAGAGCTTGAGGAGGCTTTAGAGACTTTGTATGATGCCACTTTCTTTTGGAGGCTTTCTCTTCCTACCAGTTACTTGTCTCTAGCTTGCTTTAAAAGCAATCAAAGTCTTGCTACTGAAGGACAAGGTCTGCTTCTTGTTGCAATTGGTACCCTGTTAATTCCAGCTGAAAACAGATTTTTTGACAGAAGTAGGCATCTTGGAATCTCCCCTCACTCTTTTCCATCCAGACATCAGCAGGCAGATCTTGTCTGTTCTCCCTTAAGGGGAGAGAGACATGTTTCTGAAGAGATGGAGAAAATCAGTAAATTCAACCAAAACATAGCACTGAAAGCCTGAAAGAGAAATGTCTGAAATGTTTATGGTCTGTTGAGCAGGGGGGAGACATTCTTCTGCTTTATGCATAGGCACATGCTGACATGATCAAACGGCAGCTGTCAGAAAAAATGACTGAGCTTCAGTTACTTCTTCGGGAAGAAGAGAGTTTGGCAAAAACCTTCATTGATGAAAAGACTCAGCAAGCCCTGGGAACACATGATCAGCGTTTGAGGTCCTGTCAAGAACAGCTTGAAGCCCTTGAGACCTTCACACATCGAATCAGACAAATACAACAGGACAGTGATCCTATTCATTTGCTGGAGGTGGTATTGTATGGTCTCTTTCTACCTCTTACCCTGACAGTCCTTGGTAAATTTCTCTAGTGATGTCTTCTACAGATCCTTCTGTATGTAAGCAGCATCTTCCTAAGTGCTTTTTAATTTGCTTGGTGTTGGTGTTTTGGTGAACAAATTTGGTTCCTGATTTTTGAGCTGTTAGGTCTTTCTGCTATGGCATTGATTTCAGGTCTGTATGAAATTCATGTTAATTTTTAGCATAGATGGAAAAGACAGACACATCTCTTAATCTTGAAGACAAATGCTGTATAAAGTCTTTGCTTGTCCAATGTAATATGAAGATATGAGAA